TGGGAACTGGGAGGAGGGGAGTTATGGGGGGAAAAAGAGGAACAAATGTAATAATCTGAACAATAAAGATTTAATAAAAAAATAAAAAAAGCTAAACTTGTTAGTAGATACCAGGAACAAATCCTATAAAGATACAACCCCAACTTAACAATGGCTACCATAGGGGGTGACATGAAGGGTCACCCTTTTTGTTTTTTTCTCATTTGCATACGTGTTCATTTTGAATTAAATACAAAAATAAGTCTGCTGTTGTTGAAAAGATACAAGAAAGAAAATCAACCATCCAAAAAACGGGGTTCAGTGAAAATGAGACCTTCGTGAGTCCTTCTGGCCCCTCAGACACTAGACGACAAAGAGCTGTGCAATCTCCCGTCGTGAGAACGGCCACTTCACCTTGCCAGTAAAATCGAGGTTTGGATTTCATTTTCCTAAATGTTGGCTGAAAACTGAAGACATATTTCAGAAGCAAAACCTATTGCTAAAAATAAAGGCAATGCAGAAATGAAACAAGTAAGTGCTAACTCGAAATAACTAATTAAAACAGCGCCTTAGACAGCAGTCTCCATCTCAGGCACCATTTTTCCAACCACTATTTCAGAAATCCCCAGTCACCCCCAGCATTGCTTATCTTCTAGGAGGGGACACGGCAGACTCCCTCCTTCCAGGGCACGTCTGCCCGCTCACTGTGCTTGGGGTCACTAGACTCTGATCCTCAGAGGGAAGGTAACCCTCTGCGGCCGTGCCAGAAGCAGAGGACCCGGTAACAACTAGTTTCAATGGCAAGAATTAATTGAATCCACTGGATGTAACAAAAACTGCTTCCCTTCCCTCTCCATCCGCCACCTTCCTGCCTTAAATAAAACAGCTCAGTTTAAAGAAGCTCTTTCCTCCGACAAGGAAATGAATAGCATTAAAAGGAACCCTTCTAATCTGCCATGAGAAGAGGACGGAAAACCATTTCATAATGAGTTTTTGCAGGTAATGCTGAATCAAGGGAAGCAAGAAGCCCTTCCATTTTAAGATTAAAACCAGGCAAACTGAACATTAAAACTGATCTAGGCCCTGGCCGGTTTAGCTCAGTGGACAGAGCGTCGACGCATGGACTGAAGGATCCTGGGTTCAATTCCCATCAAGGCTTAAACCTCGGTTGCAGGCTTGATCCCCATCCCTGGTTGGGGCAAGTGTGGGAGGCAACCAATCGATGTGTCTCTCTCACTCTCTCTAAAAAATTCAATGTAACGTATCCTCAGGTTAGGATTTAAAAACAAACAAACAAAATACTGATCTAGGCTATGGTACCACTGTCTTCCCATCTCATACATGATGAGGTCAAGGCCGTTGATTCTGCACAAAGGTACCCAACACCATAAGCCTCCTGCTTCAAAGCAGGGACAGCAGGATCAGCCATCACTCTGCAGGTGGAGTGGGTCCCCCACCATCACAAAACCCAGTTCTCTGTGGTTCTGCAGGAACAAGCAGCAGTTAGCTCAATGCAGGCACGGTGCCTACAATGAATATGGATGTCCTCTGAAGCCCGCTGGAGCCAACTCAGCACCGCAGTTGCACTTCCAGGAAAAGGCTCTCCTGAATTCCTTGGACCACATGAAATGGAATCAATGTCCTTACTAAATTTAAAAAACAAAATAATCCGCAGCCATCTCGTACCTGGCCCCAGGCCATTCCCCGGGCGCTTGGCACAGAGCGACTGACCCCAGCGAGGTCTGTGTGCAGCCGCTTCTCCCTCGTACACTTGGCTCTTCGGGAAACAGGGCAGCAGCACCCCAGGATGTGCCCGGAAGCACTGCCCAGAACCAGGGTGGGGACAGGCCCATCTCCCAGCTCCTCAGGGTCAAAATAGCCACATACAGTATCACAGGTTGGTCAATAAAGCAGAGCAACTAATAGACGATGCAGGGGAGTAACATTTCACTCATCTGCCAAATACGAGAACCTTTCACATATCAGGCAACCTGCTCGGCACAGTGGTAGATCATCACACACAGCTCTGCTTGCTGCTCCTGAAAAGTTACCTCCAGGGTTTGGCCAAGAATCACCAAGTCCCTTCAAATCTGCAAGTTAAAACTCCCAACCAAGATGCTGAAGAACGAGCCATCCCAGCTACAGGGCATACTCATGGGATAAATTCGGACCATAGGCTGGATGATTCTTTACTCAAGTAAAGCAAGACTGAAAAACTACCTCTATCCTGGACCCAGAAAATTACTTCCAAAAACAAAAAGGTAGGTATCGCCGGGGGTTGGGGAGCAGAGAATAACCTAGAAGCTGCCCTTCTGTTTGCCAGGATCTTTCACATCGCAAGTGGATTAGGTATCATTTGCTTTCCATTAACATGTGAAAATTTGAGGTTCCCTTTGAGACTGATATTTAGTCCCGTATTTGTATAAAATAAACACTAAGATATCAAAGTCGCAAGGTTTTGCCAGATTCCCAAGTGCTGGAAGGGATCATGACCACGTTCACAAGACCAAGTACCATACAACACGCTGTTACTAAGATTCGGGGGAAACATTACCGCCCACCACACACTCGGAATACTCACTTAGATTGAGTCTGTTTGGTGATGTTCCGAATGGTGGCACCTTCTTTTCCTATAATGGCTCCAACGAACTGGGTGGGGACTAGCAGGCGTAGAGGCAGGTCACAGGGTTTCTGCTTGGACACCGATCCTGGAGAGCCCTGTCTTGATGAGCCCCTCTGCCCAAACCCGCGGCGGCCTCGGGGCTGCTGCGAAGCGTTCTGCTGGGAGGCCATCTCGTCTGGGATGTAGGCCACTTTCAACGTGAAGTTCTCCAGCTGGAATCCATTCAGTTTGTCTAACGCTCTGAAAGTTGACAAGGAGCAAGGGTGGGAAGAGAAATCGAACTTCATAATAAACCCTTCAGCAAAGCAATACCTATATCTCCTCCACTCAGGATCATTGGCTCAAAATCTTCTGAATAAAAAGCCACAGAACAGGTAACCCAGAGCAACTTAACACCCTAACACCCTAACACCCCACCACACACACACACACACACACACACACACGGGGGAAAAAACCTGACAAGTTTCCAAAGGGAACATATTTGTCATCTAATGAAAAATAGAAAAAATTTGTCAAAATTCACATACATTACATCAGTGTCAGGTGTACACATAAGGACTCGATAGTTGCATATAATGTGAATGATCACATCTGTCTGGATAACATCTGTCGTCGCACATAGTTACAGAATGTTTTTTTCTTGTGATGAGAATTTTAAGATCTCTCTCAGGAACTTTCAAATATGCAATACAGTTGTATTAACTCCAGTTAACAGGCTGTGCATCACACCCTCATGATCTACTTGTTTTATAACTGGAAGGAGTACCTTTGCTCCCTCACCCATTTACCCACTGCTTATCTCAGATATCCACCAATCTAATCTATGAACTTGTGTTTGTTTGGGTGTGTGTGTGACTGGCTTTTTTTTAGACTCTACATGTGAGACCATATTGTGCTTATCTTTTTCTGTCTGACCTCTTCCTGACTTATCTCACTTAACATAACATCCTCAAGGCCCATCCACGTTACTGCATTGCCAGGATTTCATTCCTTTTCATGGCTGAATGCTATTCCATTGTGTATATATACACACCAGGCTTTCTTTATCACTCATCCATTGATGGACACTAAGTTGCTTCCATATCTCAGCTACTATAAATAATGCTGCAATTGAAACTCTTCATTAAGCCATTAACCCAAGAGGTCAGTAACAGCGGAGGAGCCAGGGAAGGGAGTGGGCAGATCTCGCCCAGGCTAGTCTTTCCAAGTCAGAAGGGAGGAGATGTTGGAAATATGCACCTCCCTCGCTTCATCTTCTTATAAAATACAAACATTAGACAGCGTAAGCTACAAAGGACAGATCTCTCTCAAACTCTCACAGGAGATGGGTAGGATTTGATACTCAGGATTTCACTCAACACATTCTCAGCACCTACCATGTGCCAGCCCCTACTATGCGCCATCCCTGAGCAAACAGCAGCCCTGACCTTCTGGAGTTCATGGTCTGGCCTGGGGCAGAGAGGCAGGGTGATGATGGGCCAAACGAAGCTATTTTCTACCTTATCTATCTGCCCATCCGTCCACTTCTCTACTGTGAGAGGAGCCTTACTGCGTTGTTTTTTTTTCATTTTGAATGTTACTATGGAAAAGTACCAAATCTTAAGAGTCCATCTCAATGAGTTTTCAGAAGGTCAGCCTGCAACCCAAATCCAGAGCAAGGACACACCAGCGCACCAAAGCCCACCAGTACCTCCCTAGACTTCGAAGACCATAGACTGATTCTGTTTTAAAAGTCTAGGTAAATAAGTATATATTAGTACATATGTTATGTGCTCTCATGTCTGGCCTCTTTTATTTACCAGGTTTATAAGCTTTACTCATGTTGTTGTTTTTTACCTCACTTAAGTATTTTAAAAGTGGAGAACGCAATAAAAAACGGACAGAGAAGATATCACCAAGACACCAAAAGCAACACAAACACACTTTTAATAATACGCACTCCCAAGTACACAACAAAATTAAAAACAAACAAAGGTCCCACGCTTTCCTAAGGTTACTCAGATTCTGTCCCAATGGGCTTTGAGTTCAGCCCCGGAAGGCAAAGAAAGACAGGCATGAAATGGTCTCTCCCTAGTTGCTCAGTGGTGATTTCTGGTTCCCATATTGCTTTCCTTATGTGGAGATCTTTCTATTTTGACTTAGATGGAACAGGAGGGTGGCAAAGAGATGGCCCCACCACCAGAAGGGGCACCAAAAGCACGGAGCCAGAACTCAGGCCTGGACAGCCAGACAGAGCGCGGCGCACTGGTGTCCTGGGGACCCAGCCTCGCGCCCTCTTCTCCCACGTCAACCCGCTCTCCTCACTGCCCCACAGAACCGAGGATGAATTCGTCACAATCGGTCCAAGTCACACAGAAACACAAAGAAAGGAGCAGGATATTTCTGCCACCAGCACCAACCCGCCAAGACCCTTCCCGGAATCACTGCTGACCACCATAACTTCTGCAAACAGACCGCTTCTTTCCCTGTTTATATCAAACATATGTTCAGTATCTGACATAACTGGGATCATGATGTACATAATTTGTGTTTTGCTTTTTTCTCATATTTACCTTGGGATGTTTCCATGTGATGTCTATGTCAGAGGGCATTCTTTCCATAAGCTTATACAGTGATAGGAGGCACGTGGCACAAATTATTTTACCAACGTCCTGATAACAGAACCATAAGTTAACCTATTAATCCTTGCTTTCTCCCTCTCCCCTTTTTCCTTAAGGGAAATGTAAATTAAGGGCATTAATTTGGTTTTCTTATTGTTGTTAATCTGTCTCATTCGAGGCTATTTTTCCATTGATTTTTAGAGAGAGAGAGAGAGGAAGGGAGGGGAAGGGACAGAGAGAAAGGAACATCTATGTGAGAGAAATACATCGACTGGTTGCCTCCCGCACGCACCCGGACCAGGTCCAGGGATCCAGCCTGCAACCAAGGTACGTGTCCTTGACCGGAATCAAACCCGGGACCCTTCAGCCCACAAGCCGACGCTCTATCCATTGAGCCACACCAGCTAGGGCTAGTTTGGTTATTTCTGAAGGAGGACAACCGCTGAGAAATTGTATTGATATTTATGATGTATACTTTTTATAGAAAGTTGGAGCTGCAGAAGTCTCAACCAATTAGATTTTCCTTCTAAACAACTTTAAACCTTTTTCAAGGCCAGGAGAAGCTCATCACTGAGGGTTCTTTCAGAAACCCCAGAAACATGGGCCCAGTGAGGGCGTCCACTGTACCTACAGGCACTCAGAGCAACGGGCTCAGCACACGCCTTTCCTACTACAAACAGTATAGCTGACTTCAGAAGGAAGTTCTGACCGTGGAATTCAGTCAGTAATGTTACAGAAAGTACCTATTTCTTTCTGGAGTGAGACAGGCGGACACTGATGTCATTCCCAGGGAGGCGAACCTCAGGTCCTCAGCGCCTGTGGTATTCTGGGGCTCAGCCAAGTCACGTGTTCAAAGGTGCCAGCTCCTCGACTTGGCACAAAACTGAAACGTCAAACTTCATGTGCTGCTTCTAAAAGATTTTTGTTGTTGTTGTTTATTTCTTGTTTTCCTGGGGGTTTTGGGGAGGAGGAAAGGTTCTCTCACGTGGGAGGTCAGAAGGCACGGTGCTCTGGTACCCAGTATACTGTCTGGGCCCCAAAGGCTCCCAATGCATACATACTGGGTGTCCCCCGTGTGACTGCCCACTGGCAGTTTCCGACCCCTCAAACCACAGCACTCATCAGGGCAGAGCCGAAGAAGTACAGGAGTAACCTAACGCAAGCAAGGGCGTTCCGTGACCAAAGACTCCACGTTTCTCAATAAGTGAAACACTGACCCCTTTCTGTGCACAGAGTCTGCTGCTCAGCTCTGTCCTTTGGTGGCTTGCTGAGCCCATGGGTAGAACATTATAGAACTTTCACAAACATACTGTCTATGTGAGAAATGGCTCACCTGTCCAAATTTCAAATGCTGGGCTAGGAAACAGAAGCATGGCGAAGATGAGACTTTTAATAACATTCTCGAGAGCGGGCACCCATTGTACAGGAACACACGTGGGGCAGGGAGCATAGCCGATATATTTAGTCCCTCCTCCGGTCCCTCATTGGCTGAGGACTATTTTGGTCACCTGTTTCCTAACAGGTCGCCTACATCTTACTGTCTCCCATTGGGTTATTTTAAAAAATGGGCTGGGGCCTTTTCTAGTCGCCTTCACCTCCCTTTGTCTAGGGAAATCTTCCTAGGACATGTGCTATCAGCCATGTGTACAGCTCTCATCCTCTCTCCCCACCCCCACATCCTGTTTGCTCTGGGGAAATTCAAGAGCCGCCTGGCTACATGCTGTTTCTTTTCTATGAAGGTAAGTCATGCTTCTTACATACATACGACACGTATGGTGAGAAGGTGATGGGTGTTCATGAGATTTGTGGTGGTGATCATTTCACAATGTATACAAAGATCAAATCATGGGGGACGCCTGAAACTAAGATAACGTTATATGTATCAATTACACCTCAATTTAAATGAACAACTGCCATAATTATTAAAACATATGCATTCAGCTCAGCAGAATCGAGGGTGTTTTTCCAAGTGTGCTCCTCAGGGTCCTGTTTCCCGTCTCCCCCTGGCTCTGCTCTGCCGCTAATCTGAGTCACTCAGGAGATCCTGAGTACTAGTAGTTTTGCTAGTCAGTAGCACTTAACTATTGATAAGAAATTTATTAGGGCAGATCACAGTTTAGGGAGCTTTGAGAGAGAGCGGATATGTAGTTTAACTTAAGGATGAGGGAGGAAGGAGAGAGAAGAAATGAGACCAGAGAAGAATTTAAACTCATCGAAGGGCACACACACACACACCTTAGTAGTGAAAAGAGGCTGAACTAGAGACCAGAATTCTAGTCCAGCTGGAACAATAAGCAGCCGTGTAACCTTGGAAAGGTCCTGTTCTTATTCGGCACTAGGTTCCTCACCTACAAAACGCAGCAATTCGATTTATGATCGCTTTCAACTCAAAAATTCCATGTCTAGAATTTCTATTTTCTTCTTCCCAGACCTTACTGCTGTATATAGCACAGATTCTAACAAAATGAGGTTTAACTATTATTGAAAAGTCACACAATTCAGTTTTCTGCTTGTGCCAAGAATGAAAGGTCGAGGCATACAATTCAATAATAATTACTGGAAGCCTGGTAACAGCACTGCAGGGATGCAACTTAAGGAAATAATTACCGCCAAAGCCCAAAGATTTACCTCCGAAGGACTTTACAATTACACTGGTTCTACAAGCACACGCGCATACACCCAAAAAGCAAAAACAACAAAAACCCTGCACACCACCTGTGTTACAGAGGACTGATACAGCGACTGTGGTAGGGGTGAAACACTATGTAGCGATTACCAACAGTATAAATACAGTCAACGGAAATAAAACGCTATAGAAGGATCTTTGTAATTTTAGAAGTTATGACACATGAGACAAAGTCTACAAAACTTGATGGTTATCTCTGAATGGCAAAATGGCAAGAAACTCCTTTGTCTTACTGCTCTGTTACTTCTTTCTCCAGAATAAAATCTTCTAGTTACATGATTTTTACAGTTTAAGGGTGATTTTCCTCCCCTTAGCCATCAGCCAAGTTGTTGAACACACTTCTAACCATCACAGTGTACACCTGATGTGGGTCTTCAAACTGATACAGAAGGATCTTCAATGATAGCTTCACAATATAAACAAACTATACTCCGATTCCCTAACAAAAATAAACATCAGAAATAAGAGCCCAAAAGAAAAGAAAGTATAAAAACTAAATGCCTGCAAATTCTGAAGGGTTATTTCCTTGTCACACATGACAGATCTCCCAGGGAGCGATGGCTACCTTGGACGATGTTACCTGAGCATCTCTGGGAGGAAATGGGTGTCTCGAGGCCCCAGCCTTTCTCGCTCCAAGGAACAAGTGATACTAAATACATTCTGTTTTTAATGATTTATTTTTTGTTTTTATTATTTCTATTCATTTTATTATTTTAATAATCCAAGACTTCAAGTTAAAACAAATAGGTATCTCCTAGTAATATAGTACTCTAAACCTTTGATTTTTCTAACCACAAGGTGGCAGGAATTTCCATGTTAAATTCTGTCTTAGAGACAGCCTTATTGAGGAATCAATCTTCTTAAAAGTGGCATTTATAGAGGTTTAAGTAACAAAAAGAGGCAGCCACAAAAGCCTTTAAACTAGGTTCCTAACTCTGAGTATCAGCGGCCAGTCATTATCTGGAATGGAGTATAAATGAAGTATATTGAGCAAGAACAGAGTATCATCAGCAGAAATGAAAAAGGTTGGAAAACGCTTAATAGCTGCTAACTTTGGAGTTCTTGCGAGGTATTATGATAGGTGTTTTGAAAGCGCTGCATAGGTTCTCTCAACAGCCTCATGAGCTAAGAACTGTGATTATTTCCACTTTACAGGCAGGTGTGAACTAAGACAGATCAACTTGACCAGAGTGACAACCAAGAGTGGTGGCACGGAGGTCACCCCATGGACTCTGGAATGTGAACTCCAAACCTCCACGCTCTGCCCCCCCCACACCAGCACATCCCAGCTACACAGACTCCCAAGTATCAGACGCAAGGAAAGAAAAGTCAACTGAGAATACCGATTCCGCCCGCATGACCTGAAGAGGTGAGCTTTGAACGGGCTCTTATTCCTGATGTTTATTTTTGTTAGGGCAAGGAAAAAGCAAGGGAATCACACCGCGCTGGTTTAGGCAGCAGGTGGCTGTGCGCAGCCCAGAGGACAGGCGTGCAGGGCTCAGTGGAACAAGTCCTGGAGGGACCACCTTCCCAGCTCAAACCACCTGCAGCTGCTCTAAAAGCAGCCCAGAACCAGTGGGTTGGGCAAGAATTACTACTATTTCCTTGGTGCCCATGTGCCAGGCCATTTGATAAGCCTGTTTTTCTATAAATATGTGCCTAAATGAATGACTACATTGGTCTCTTGTCAGCTCTCACTTTGTAGCTCAGAAAACTGAAGCTCACTCAGAGAGGTCAGGGTTACAGTCAGAGGCCACACTTTCTCCAAGGCATCCAAGGAGTGAAAGATCCAATGCCTCGCAAATAAAATCAATTCTCCTCACAGAATGAGAATGTACTCCCCATCTCTTTAAAAAAAAAACTTACTAGAAAATGTTCATAACACTGTATCACAAGACTGACTTTTCCATTCTTTAAATCTATTAACTTTCTCTGAATTATTTTCTAATACTCTTTGCTCTTTGGAATTTTTGAGGGAGAGAAAACCCAATATTCTTGTAAGGAAACTCAACGTGGGCAAGAATTAAAATCAGGTGATCCCTCTCCAAATACACTTTCACCAGTGGGAGGCCCATCCCTGAGGACAGGGTTCTGCCTTTAGTCACCGGCAACATTTGGTCAATACGTAGTGGCTATTCATTGAATGACTATTAGAATAAGAGATGCAAAGAGCATTTCCCTCACTGAAATGGCCATTTATTTGTTTGGGGTATTTAATTACTGAAATGACAGATTCCTAACAGCCTTTTTCTTTCCCCTTGGGACCAACAGGGCAGGGCAACCTCTAACAACACTTGTAAAAAACGTCTCCACGTGCAGTTTGCCGTCAGGGTGGGATTACTTGCAGCAGCGATTCTGCCGTGGTTCCCAGCCACCGCCGGCCCCTCCTGTGCTTGTCTCAGTGCTTGGAATGCAAGGGTTGCTAAATGTCAGCCAGTTCCGACTCAAGTTCAAAACCAACAAACGTTCTCCCATACGGCTGTTAGCATCGTCCAGTCAGCTGGCTATCCTCACCTAAGTTTTCAAACAGGACAACTAGGACAGGCCTCTGACAATCTCCAAATACCCTTGGGTTTAGCATGTCACCCCATAGTTTCCATCTAACAGAGTTGGCTGTAGCAAGCACTTATTGGAGACCTCTGTAAAGACAAACGGAGTCTGCGTTCTCACTGTCCTCACTCTGACCTCTGCCCCCGTCTACTTGGGGTATAAAACGTGAAAATTTTCTGTTCTTCCCTGGTACACAATTTTGTTGAAGAATAAGGTTGGAAAACATCAGTTTTACAACTCACACCACAATTTCTAAGATGTCAAAAAACCTCATGTTAACTGTTAATTTTTTTAAAAAATGAAAGATACAAACAGAAGGAAAAGCAGAATATTTTTAAAGCTCTTAAAAGTCTCATTAAAAATGAATCTCAGAAATCTCATTTTTTAGGGAAAAAAGTGAAATGAACATAAGTAGATACTGCTTTTCACCCACAGGATCAGCTACACCTGGTACAGCCCTGTGTTAGGGAGTCAGGAGAACGCACACTCACATGGACCGATGGGGATTTAAACTAGTTCAGATTCTATGAAAGAGAACTTGCAAATATTTAGAAAAATTTTAATAAGTATCTTGATCTATTTCTAGGAATTAACCCACACCCATATTCACACACATGCAAAATGACGTGCAAAAAAGAGATTCTCTACCGCAGCAATTTTCAAACCGGTGTGCAGCAAGAACTACTAAAACATGCAGTGCCTGACTATTTACTCGGCGGCACTGCCCTCTTTTCCCTTAGATTGTCAAATAAAAAAAATGGCAACAGCCAAGATGATAGCCATCTGGTGAGTCAAAACTTCACCTATTCTTTTGTCAGATCAGCAACAAATATAATCTATTTTTTGGTGTGCAGCAGAAATTTAGCAATTACTTTGTGTGCCATGAGCAGAAAAGGGTTCAAAATCGCTACACTCCAGCCTTTCTCATAACTGCAAGAGACTCGAAATAAGCTAAACATTCAATTTGGAACTAAGTCATTCTATATTCATACAATGAAATTCTATGCAACTTTAAAAAAAATAGGTTTCGATGTACAAAACACTCAAGTGCTATGGTATCACTTGTGTAAAAAGGAGAAAAAATAGACACACGTTTGTCTTCCATATGGTTATCTTCAAGAAAGTTGGGGAACAATACCAGGGGGGAAAGCTGCACCAGATACATCTTTGGACCTTTACATTTTTGAACCATGTGAGTATTGCTCACATATAAAAGCTGAAGTCCCACTGTATGATGCAAGTTTCCATCTCCTCGCCAGCCCTGTCTTTCCTCTCCTGGCTCCTCCAGGAGTGGGCACTGCCTGTGGTCAGCTAGCTCGGTCACCTTTCCCCTTCAGGGCTCAGGTCGGCCAGTGTGGTCTCTCCTTTCCCCTTTCCCACGAGAGGGCAGACAGCTGTCCCTGCCTGCACCGTGTCTGGAGCGGTGAAGACTGCCATGGTCCCTGACACTCAGCTCTCTGCTGCTGGGCACCTTGCATGCCATTCCGGTTTGCAATATGAGCAGACAGGTCAAAAGCAATATTTGTGGGATCCTCATTTTCTCTCTCTCGTGTTCAGTCAGTTCATTAGATCATTCCCAAGCCTACAGAAGTGTTTTTTCCTAAGGAAGATTGTTTTATCTGTAAATTTTAGCCTCCCCATTGCATTGGAATACATTTTTCCCCCACCAATCTAAAATCAAATTACATTGGTTCAATGTCTGCACACTCCTAAATGGCAACAGTAACCATTAGGAAAATCAGGGAGCAAGAAAACAACATTTAACACTGTTGTTTAACACATGACCTACTTACCAGCTTTGAATAAAACAGCAATAATGTATGTATCATATCAATAAGGGGACAATCTTAATGTAATTTGATGGTAACCAGGTCCACAGCTTTTTGCAAATAGGGTGCAGTTCAGCTTCATCCCATATCCATCTACCACTGATATATTGAAAAGGTAATAAAACTTTAACCAATGCAAATTCTTATCATACTGTTAAACATTAAAAGATTTGCAAGGTCAAACTTGGCAAAATAAAGTTTATTTCTGCTGTCCACTGGGCCAAAATATAAGTACTATACTTAACCTGCGTACTATCCACATAGATAAAAAGTGTCAGTCTGCTTACTGTCTGGCTTGGTCCTTACTGGAATAGGTTACGTTTACGACTGCAGTTTCCGAGTCAGTGTTCACTGGAGGGAGAAAAAAAGGAAGAGAAAGAAAAAAGTTAGTCTTCTTCTTACTTCCCCCCTTTTACAAATTTGAAAGCAATTGAGAAGACGTGTACCTTGCTCACAGCTTTCCACCACTCCATACTGGCCTAGTAAACTATCCAGCACCTATCAGGAGGGGGGAGAAAATTACAGATTTTCAGTTTCCCAAGGTATTACGAGGGCAGAAATGTTTGAAAATCACAAAGAACTGTGATGAAAAAGAGCCCCCAAAATCAACTGGGTTCTGGGCTATCATAGTGAGGGACGGGCACCATTGTGGGGTCCCCTCTCCTGCATCTCCCTGACTGTAGGCTCATTTCCTGGGGATAATGAAGCCGTGAGGCAGCGCAGCACTGCTCACAGCCACAGCCGCCTGGTTCCCAAGGCTGGAGCAGGAGGAAGCATCTATTTCCCATGCAGACAGCAACGCATCATCACACTTCCTCCTTGTATACAGAGTCACGAGACAAGGGCCCACGTCAAGTTTCATCTTTAAGATGTTCCTTCTCAAAGAACTTCCTCCTATAGCTAAAATGGACGCATCGGAACGGACGACTCTCACGCAGGCCAGCAAAAGGAAGGAAGAGCATAGCTGATATTCTACCTGGAGCTAGAGACTAAGCTGAGTGGTATATCAATACTTAGTAAAAAGTATTTAAAAAAAAAAAAAGAAGTGAGCATTTCTAAATCTATACTAGACTGGAAAACGCACAACTTGAAACTGTTTTAGCATCTTTCCTGTGGCTGCATTATTCCACCGTGCATGTTAGTCTCATGAGAGGCCGTGAAAGCAGCACCTACATTTTATCAGACCATGAACTGTGGGTGTACATCTCATCAGTACAAACCAAATCCCACTGTCTTTCACTTCCAAGAACTATAAAAAGATTTTTTTTTAAAGGTAAACCAAGATGAGTTTCTATTAATTTACAGGGAACCAATTATTCATTAATTTAATTGCAAACTTTGAAGGACGGGCCCTTGAGAACGTGTTCTGGCCCCCAGAACACAGTAAAGCATCAAGAAATGCACTAAATAGTCAGGGTAATTCCCTATAAACTTTAAGCAACTTCTTCTAAAGCAGTGGTTCTCAACCTTCCTAATGCCGCGACCCTTTAATACAGTTCCTCATGTTGTGGTGACCCCCAACCATAAAATTATTTTCGTTGCTACTTCATAACTGTAATGTTGCTACTGTTATGAATTGTAATGTAAATATCTGATATGCAGGATGTATTTTCATTGTTACAAATTGAACATAATTAAAGCATAGTGATTAATCACAAAAACAATATGTAATTATATATGTGTTTTCCGATGGTCTTAGGCGATCCCTGTGAAAGGGTCGATCGACCCCCAAAGGGGTCGCGACCCACAGGTTGAGAACCGCTGTTAAAGGACCATTTATCTTATGTGGTATCTTTCAGGCTTTTGTCTACTGATTCCAATTTGAAAACTATAGGCAGGTATGTCTGGGAGTGAGTTTTTTTATTTTACTTTTCCCCATTTTAAATAAGGTTAATACCTATTTGTGAATGGGGAATCGTTACATTTTTTCATAGTGACGTTTTGATGTGAATTTCCTTTGAGTGGGGTCTATTAATAGAAGCACACTAATCTTTGTCTCTAATTACAGCTGCTGTTAAATCAAAAAGCTTAATCTTTAATTCAGAGCACTCAGCTGACCACATGTCATTTCATGTGTCTGTCTCAGCCACTAGGATGAACGATCACATGAACAGGAATTTCTGTTCACTGTACTGTCCCTGGCACCTGGAATGTACAGGCACGAAAAGACATTCCCATGGCTCATAAGTGAAGTCAGTGCTTCTTGGAGGGAATTCTAGCATAGCTTACTAGGAACGGCACTGTCCAGCAGTGCTCACCTGGTTCAGGGGTGAACTGCCATGCATGTCACGTTGATCACAGACATCTTTTATAAAGGCAAAAAATAAAAATAAAAAACTTCTTATAATGCCACCCAAAGAGGCATAATATGCAACATGTAACATCTTAAAATCTAAAAAAAGCAACCTACTTGTATTTTTAAGACAAAAATGTTTCAATGCCAAAAATGTTTTATATGTATATTAATAGAATTCTAAAGAGGTATTTAAATTCATTCCATCTTAATTAAAGCAGCAGGAACAGTCCAGCTACCATTTAAAATTTAACTTTTAAATGAAAGCCCTAAGCCCTGACCGGTTTGGCTCAGTGGATAGAGCAGCGGCCTGGGGACTGAAGGGTCCCAGGTTCGATTCCGGACAGGGGCATGTACCTTGGTTGCGGGCACATCCCCAGTGGTGGGTGTGCGGGAGGCAGCTGGTCGATGTTTCTCTCTCATCGATGTTTCTGACTCTCTATCCCTCTCCCTTCCTCTATGTAAGAAACCAATAAAATATTTAAAAATAAATAAATAAATGAATGAAAGCCCTCTAACAGTAGGGCTTTATAGCAACTTGGGTATCTTGAGGGGCAGGGGTGTGGAGGGGCCTGGAGATGGTGATGATGGAGGAGGGGTATAGGGGGTAGGTGCCAATTTAATATGTTCATTTAAATAAGCATCATTCTTAATTCTTCTTAAAAGCAGTTTTTTAAATAAATACATTACTCTCCATATTGTTTAGCTTCTATCTCCTTAACTTTTTTTAATATTTTTTTTATTGATTTCAGAGAGGAAGGGAGAGATAGAATCATCAATGGTGAGAGAGAATCATTGCTTGGCTGCCTCCTGCACCCCCCCTACCTGGGATTGAGCCTGCAACCAGGGCATGTGCCCTTGACTGGAATGGAACCCGGGACCCTTCAGTCCGCAGGCCGACACTCTATCCACTGAGCCAAACCAGCTAGGGCAATCTCCTTGTTACTATTATAGAAAAAAAAAAAAAAACTACAAAAGCTAAATACCAGTGTTTATAAACAATATTGAGTGAACCTGCAAAAATAATGCAAAAGAAACTAATATTTTGCAAATGGCCCACTGGCAAAGTGACATAAATTATAGATATATTTCTTTTTATATATGGACACACAAATATGCACATATATTTATTTGTATGTAAGTACATACATACATACAGGCAGATAAATAAATGATACAAGAAAACTTCTAACTTAAAAAATCGAGGAAATATACATAAAATTTTCACTGCATCCACTGTACAAAGTTTAATATGTCCAAAACAAAATTGCTTATAGAGTTAAACATTCTATTCCTAGATAATAATAAATGCTACTGATTATCAGAACTATGCTGTGTGTACAATCTCCGGGGGGAAAATTAGAAACTACAATTCTATCTTCTAAAAATGGTGAATTTTATTGTATGTAAATTATACTTCAATAAACCTTGCTCTAAAAAAAACACAAAACAAAAACACACACTATAATTCTTAAAGGAAAAATAGGTCCATCATCAATCTTGGTACCTAGTTGAGGACAAGTTAACCAGAGGGGTACCTAGACACCTGAGATGGATTTCAATGGGTCTTTGAGGTCTTCACTCATCATTTTTGCATAAGTTTTGGGGGTCATCACAGCTGAGAGAAAGATTGTCAATAACCCAAGCAGAATCACAAATCCCAGAAGGGTTTCCAACCCCCAAGTGCTTGAGCAATGCTAAATAGCCCGTTTTCCTTTAACTGGTTGGGAAGGCATTTATCTGAGTGTGCTGTGTGAAGCAGGACTACCACACTGTATCCTGCCACTCAACTCACTGAGCTCCCCACGTAAACACAGCTCACTCCTCACAAGTCTGCCCTGTTGACTCAGCCTGCATTACAGGAAGAAAAGACACATGTTCCTGTATCTGCCGCATAAACCGCCCACCACCATCCCTAGGTTCTTGCCTTCTCTCAGTTCCTAGAATGTCTTGTCTCTTCTCCCATCTATCCCAACCACAAATGTTTCTTTTAAACAGCCTTGTTTTAATGGTAAAAACAAACAAAACCCAAAATACTTCCACTGCACATTTCCAACATTTCCACAATCTCTTAACAAACCAAAACCCTCATTCCGAAGTGAACTTATTTTACTCAAGCCCACAAGAAAACATTTCTCTATGCTTATGTAAGTTTAAACTCCAACTGGGAGGGGAAGACGCTACCAAAGCAAATTTAAGCCGCAGAGAGAAGGAATGTCTTGGCGGAATCCCACCTTTTTATATATTTAAAACTTAAAAATCTCAAATGTCCAGCACTTTAAAAAAAAATTAGAAGTTCATCCAAATGTAGAAATAGCAAAGAAAGAAGCACATGCTTAAATGCAAAGATTGTCACTTTCCTTAACATAGTGGTCAAGACTTAGATCATAACAGCTTAGAGTGGAAACAATCTAACTGCCCACCAACTGATGAAGGGACAAACACAATGTGGTGCAGCCACACAACGGAATATTATTTGGCCATAGAAGGAATGAAGTACTGATACATGCTACAACACAGATGAACCTTGACAACATTAAGTGAAAGACACCAGTTCCCAAAGACCACATCTTAACGGTTCCATTCAGGGATCTCGGCAGAAACAGAAGGTAAATGAGTGGCTGCGTCGGGCTGGTGCGAGTGGAAGGGTGACAGCTAAAGGTTTCTTTTGAGGTGATGAAAATGCTCTAAAACTGACTGTGGCGATGCTTGCACATATCTGTGATCATACTAAAAACCACAGAACTGTGCACTCTAAATGGGGGAGTTGTGCAGTATGTGAATTATAGCTCAATACAACTTAAAAATAACTAAGATCAATAATACGAGCTAATCACCTAGGTTTGTTTAACCCTTGAAGTATTATTAAAGTAAAATTTTATCAGTTTTGCCATTACGTATGTCCTCATGAAACCATCGCCATAATCAAAATAAAAGTTCCTTCATGCCCTCTTCAACCTAGCAGCCTAATTTATTCAAACACGAACACCAAAATATCGTTGAAAAACTACCTTTGTAACTCACACATGATCAGATTTCCTCTGCCACAGCAACCCCACCATCACCCCCGACAAAACTAGCTATTTTCAACTGATCCCCTTGGGCAGGGAGGAGGTTCATGCTCTCCAGAAAAACCTTCTGATCACTTGCTCTTTACACCCACCGCTCAGGCCCCATCACCTCTGAATCATCTGAACCAAAGGTC